TCACAAAATAACTATACTTGTAGTGTTTATAAAAACAAAAACAAGTTTGAAATTCTCTGCATTGAACATAAAAGTATGAAAATGACTAGCAGTTTAGAAAAGAGAAAGATAGGAGGGGAGGTCAGTGTGAAGGTATGTATCAGGACAGGCATGTTTCAGGATGGGTGTATCAGGACAGGGGTGTATCAGGACGGGCGTATATCAGGACAGGTGTGTTTCAGGATGAGTGTATCAGGACAGGTGTGTTTCAGGATGGGTGTATCAGGACGGGGTATATCAGGACAGGCATGTATCAGGACAGACATGCATCAGGACAGGGGTGTGTCAGGACAGGGTTGTATCAGATCAGGATGTATCAGGATAGAGGTGTAACAGGATGGGCGTGTTTCAGGATGGGTGTATCAGGATAGGTGTGCATCGGGACAGGGGTATATCAGGACAGCGGTGTGTCAGGACAGGGGTATATCAGGACAGAGGTGTATCAGATTGGGGTGTATCAGGACAGGGATGTATCAAGACAGGCATGAGTCAGTGGTAGCTTTGGGGATGTTGCAACAGAGAATTGGAGGAAATGGGTTGACTCCAAACATCTTTAGGAAGCACAGTCAATAGGACTGCTAATATAATTGCTATATTATATGAAAGCTAGGAATTTTTTTCCTTACCAAATAAATAAATCTAACACTCCCTACCCCCATTTTAAAACAAACAGTGAGTTCCCAAAGTGATGGGCAGGTATTTTTAATGGAAAGAATTGTAGGTGTAAAGAGTAATGGAATTAGTGTAAGGTTTGTGTTTTGAACAACATTATAATTGTATGCAACGTAAATGTTAAGTTTTCCGTAACAGAATAAATATTTTAAGCCAGGCTCGGTGGCTCAGCCTGTAATCCCGCGCCTTTGGGAGGCTGAGGTGAGTGGATTGCCTGAGCTTGCGGGTTCGAGACCTGCCTGGACAACTTGGCAAGACCTCATCTCTCCAACAAATCAAAAAAATTAGCTGGGCGTGGTAGCGCGCACCTGTAGTTCTAGTTACTTGGAAGGCTGAGGCGTAAGGATCGGTGGAGCCCAGCAGGTCGAGGCTGCGGTGGCCGGGAGTGGCCACTGCATTCCAGTCTGGGTGACAGAGTGAGACTCCAACTCAAAAAAAAAAAAAAGAATAAATATTTTGATCATCAAAGTGTTCTAATGGTAAGATGCTACCTCTGCTCCTACAATTCATAAGACAGTTCATAAGCAGAAGTGTGTGTGTATTTTGCCTCCTTTTATATAACAGTAGAAGATGACCATCCCCTCCCTCATTTTTATGGTAAACTTCCTTTAATCAGTAATGAAATTGATGACATGCAAATGTACATTATTTGTCTTCTTCCTTTCATAGACCTCTCTTTTGAAAATATCCTAGGGAGGTGAAGTTACGTTTTCTAGAAATAAAATGAAGTGATTTTTTTTCCCCTCTGGTGGTGAATGTTAGGAGTGACAGATAAGACACCTTTGAGAGGGTGTTATTATGATATTACACTATAATACTTGGCAATACCAATATGCTGTTTTTAGTCAATCATAATATCTGGGAGAAAGAAGAGGAGATCTGCACTGAGCTGTAACCACCAGTGTTAGACGATATTCTTAGGCTTTGGCTCCAATGTAGAGCTCTAGTGAACTAGAATAGATACATGTAAGAAATAATTTTTTTTTAATGCCAAAAAGCCAAAGTCACTGTGAACCAAATCAGGGAAGCCAAAGGTCTTCTTCTCTATCTCAAATTTGTGGCATGAGTGGACACATCTTTCAGTACTAGAGAAAAAGTAGAAAGAGCAAATTAGACAGTTTTCGAAAGAATATTTTTCTAGTGTATAGGGTAGAGTACTCTAGGTCTCCCTATAGTACAGTACCAATTGTTCTTAATACTCCAGTCTGGTGGAAGGAAAATAGAGCTTCGTCATGTGTGCTCACTGCAGTGGCATGCTCACCACCATGGCAGCCTCGACCGGCTGAGCTCAGGTGATCCTTCTACCTCAGCCTTCCAAGTAGCTGGAACTACAGGCATGCGCCACCACACCTAGCTAATTTTTTTTTTTTTTTATTGTACAGATGAGATCTTGCCAAGTTGCCCAGGCTGATCTTGAACCCCTGGGCTCAGGCAGTCCTCCAAAATGCTGGGATTACAGGCATGCCATCACGCTTGGCAGTGTGTGCTCACTCTTAAGACCTCTGAAATTTCTTCATTGTGGGTGAGTGGGGAACTCTGATTTTGATGCATTCTTGGGTGAATAACAGGTAAATGAAATGATTTCCCCAAGAAGTCAACCAATGAAAACTCTGAAAAAAATTATGAAAGTGTTTCAAAAGAGAACAACACCTGTGTTACCACCATTATTTTTGTGTGGTCTGCTTTTATTCTTTTTCTATCTGTTCATTTAACACAGTTGAGCATGGTTGAATTTATAATAGAGGTTTTTCCCCTGCTGCTTTTTAATTTGTTTACTTTTCATCAGTATCTTTCCATGCTAGTTGAAGTTCTCTGTCAACATTTCAGTGGTTCCTTGTCAGTTTCTGGTAAAATACTGTGCCATAGGTACTCAAGAAGAGTATAAGGTGAGCTTCTCAAATATGCCAATATTGATATAAACCAACGATTCTCAACAGAAGTGATTTTTGCCACCCTATTTCTCCTCCCCAGGGCAAACATACTACAGTGCATGGGACAGCCTCCCAGAACATAGAATATGGTCCAAAATGCCAGTAGAACTGAGGTTGAGAAACCCTGCTAACTGGCATGCTACTAAGAAAAAAAGAAAGAATAAAGATTGTGGTTGAACGAAGAAGGTTGTGAAGGCTCTCCCTGTACTACAGGCTTCCTTACAGCACACTCAGGTCCTCAGGTGTCACTGAGGGTAGGTAGCATCCATCTGCTCATCCTATCCTTTCTCATTCCCTTGAAATGGAGTGTAGTTTTACTCGCCTTTAACCTTCAAGTGCTGTTGAGATCTGGCTGTGATGGCCCCTCAGGCTGTAGAGCTGAGCTGTGTCCAGTCATTGACCTTCTTTCTTACTCTAAAGAGTTTCTAGAAGGAAATAGCTACAAGGTATTTGTCTCACGTCTTGATTTTTTTCTTCTTCTTTTATCTGCTTTTCTTTTTTTTCTGTGACTTTGTGATCTTCTCTTTTTCCTTTTCAGTCCTTTGAAGGTAAGGATGGGACTTACTTTTTTTTTTTTTTTTTGAGTTGGAGTCTCACTCTGTCACCCAGACTGGAGTGCAGTGGCTGCTCCCAGCCACGGCAGCCTCAACCTGCTGGGCTCCAGCGATCCTTCTGCCTCAGCCTTCCGAGTAGCCGGAATTATAGGCATGCGCTACCACGCCCGGCTGATTTTTTGGTTTATTGTAGAGATGAAGTCTCGCTGCCCAGGCGGGTCTCGAACCCGTGGGCTCAGGCAATCCACTCAGCCTCCCAAAGGCGCAGGATTACAGGCTGAGCCACCGAGCCCGGCTGGGTCTTACTTTTTATAAAGCTATCAACCCAGGCTTTCTTTCTTAGTTGCATGCCAGTTAGTAGTGTTTCTCAACGTCAGCACTACTGGCTTTTGGGGCCAGATTCTTCTTTGTTCTGGGGAGGCTATCCATTGCATTGCAGGATGTTTGCCCTGGGGAGGAGAAATAGGGTGGCAAAAATCATTTCTGTTGAGAACCGTTGGTTTATAGCAATACTGGCATATTTGGGGACCTTATCTTATACTCTTCTTGATTATTTTATCATTATTGGTAAGTTAAAATATATTCTTTTTTTTTTAAACTCGAGAGACTCTTTTTACTTTCACATTTGGAGCTGAACTGGACATTTGAGGATACTAATGAAGTGCTGGTTTCTAAATAAACAAGGACAGCCACAGCCACATGTGTCTCAACAGTAGAAAACAAATAATAAATTCTGGTGACAAATATTAAGGAAATTAATATAATTAGAGCAATGTCCTAGTTATCTAGAATTTAGTACTTGGGTTCAACTTAGTTTTCTGGCTAAGTCATAGAAAATTAAGGGCTACTGTTTTTCAAAACCCTTTGAAAATGTCTTATTTCTGTCTGATAGCCTCCTATCTTTAGTTAAAGGTATTATACAGGAAGCAGCACCCAGGGACACCATTGTGCTGCTCAAAATAGTCCACAGCAGTCTGATGAGAGGGGAGTGTTAATGCAACCAAAGTTCAGCCATATGTCTCATACTACATACTTTTATTTGGATGATTGGGTATCTGAGAGCTTATGGGATTAGCTTTCTGAAACTTGGGATCCGTTTATAGTAATCAGAGGCTTCTTTCAGAAGTAAATGAAAAATGGCATACCCTTTTCCAATTGAAAGCACAGAAGCCCCAAATTTTGTGCTTCAAGATATGTATGGATCCTTTTGAAACCTATCCTTTGGCACTCAGTTAAAGAGCCCTGTTCTGCACTGTGGGAGAGTATAGATTTCATGATTCTTTCTGGTAAAGGAAATTGAATTGATTCTGCTGTACACTCTAGGAAACCCTGGAAATTTATTATTTGACTGAATGTCTGATAGGAGCTACTCTTTAGCCTTCACTTAAAAGTCCAGGGTGTTAGGAGGAAAACACAATGAAGTAAAGACTTTGGTTAATTAGATTTTATATAATTAAATTTTATATGTATTCCATTTGGTCCTTGGTTTGAAAATAAAAATTGTTAAACTTTTCATGTTTTTCACCAATTAATCTTTTTAGTCCCTGAAAAGAAAACCACAAATAACTGTTTATCTGGTTTTGAAGAGATAATTTTAAACCTCAGTCTTAAGAATTCTTCTTGGTTTGATGTATGCTGTATTATATATGACCTGCCTTCAAGTTAGATAAAAAGTTAATTAGACCCAAATAGTTATTAGACTCACTTGTAAGTTACCACTGTTATTTTTAGTTCTATCAAAGAAGAGATTGCCTTTGCTTCTCTGAATTGCTCGTTGTCTAGTTAGCATTTTTTTAAAAACTAGTCTAATTGAATATGAACCTTTAAAAGAGGCACTTGAAAGGCCATCTGCTGACCCTAGCTCTTGTCCGTGTGAACAACTTGTACTGGTGGCTCTGATGACTGCATATGTGGAGAGAGGGACAGCAGATGGTTGTAAAGACTTAAAATCTACAACAAGTGGCCAAGAGTCACTAACTTTGGAGTCATTCAAGATGCTGGCCACATGTGGTTAGTGTGTTATTAAGGATTTCACATCGTCTGCTTGTGTTGCGTTATTTTTTTCCCTCCTCCCTGTTGTTCTAACCTCTTCTCTTTTGTTTTTTTTAAGAGCTAACATTCTGTCTGCTATAGATTATAAGAATCTGTAACCAAGTGGTTTTGAGAAGGAAAAAAACAAACATATTTGTGTTTCTTTTACCAGGTGCCATAGAAGATTGGTTAACTAGTGTAGTGAAATGACCCTAATTAGAATTGCTTTGTAGTCAAAGCCTAAGGTCCTTTGTTTAGTAGCCTTTTCTGCTTCTGGCAGATTTCTGATTACTCACAGGTAAAGTTCAGAGCTAAATTTAGATCATTACAGAAATTCCTCAGTTTTTACTTTATTTGGAATAAATAAATTCAGTAAAATAGCATCCATGTAAAGATGTACTTGTGAAAAATATGATTTAAATATAGTGACTCCATGTCAATTCCCTGAACCTAGATTCTGATGAAAAGTAAAATCCTTATGTGACAGAGATAGAAATACAAGTATGAGACGGAGGGAAATGTGTTTTCTGTAGCTGGGGTGGAGTAGAACCACCACCATGTGGAAGCGGAAACTCCCATTCCGTGTGATGAAGAAATGCTTGTGGCATGCAGGGCAGATGGAGTGTAAAATAGCTTCAGGAAAAGAGGTGCCCAGGGACCTTGGTTTAAAAATGCAATTTCAGGAGGAATGCAAGCAAATTTCAGACAGTTTGGCATTCTGGGAAAGGAAAGGACTTTAATTGGTCTGGCTTTTTTCCTTTAATCAAAAAGTTAAGGCAGAGTCATCCAGCAAGCTGCTTTCCTACTTTTTCTTTGTTGCCATCAACGACAAGCACTCTATGCAAGTGGCACAAGTTCTTACTTTTTTTGAAACCTAAGTTTAAACTTGACATAGCCAGAAAGCCCCAGCATCCTAATTTTCTTCAGTGAACCTTATTTGGGGGTCCGATAAGTAAACCTCCTAAAGAATGGAAACTTTCAGTCAACTATTTTGTCAAATGATTCTTGGCTAAACTAACCAATTTTCAATTTTACATCATGTTGGAACACGCATTTTCAAAAACAGTTGAAATGATACCTGGATACCCCTGTAGCTACTTGACTTCCTCGACTTCTCTCTAGCCTTGACTTGTAAGCCCTGTCCTGAGGTGTAACTTTGCTGGCTTGGAGATAAAGTCAGCTAATTGTTGATGGATTCTGTTATAAATTCATTCCCACGCAGGTCTCATTCCCCTCAGAAATCAACCTGGCATCTTTATTGAGAAAGTTGAGTCTATCCTGTATTAAACACTGTATCTTTTTCTAACTCTAAATCATCACTCTCTTTACTTTCCCTGTCTTCTTTTCTTCACTCCTGTCTCTTCCCCTTCTCAAAGCCCTTCTCCCTGTGTTCTTCATCCTGGACTTCCTTCTCCATCTTTTCTTTCTCTCATTTCCTTTCTCCAGGCTTTCATCCTTCTCCCCCTTCTCATTCTTGCCAC